AGGCCTGTCCAGCAGTGGACTATTAAAGATTGATGAAAATGATGAGTATATTATATAACATTGTACACGTATTAATTTTGAATGGTGATACTTTTATAGTGTCACGTTATTTATTATAATGCATTTCGATTGTAACATTTGATAAATAAGGTATTTGATGAGACATTGGTGGCGTTTGAGATTAAGAAGCCCCATTACCAAAATTCACAAAGATTTTACTCGCATAATTCTTTTTTATTAATGTCAATAGTAATTATATTCATCTTAAGGTCGCACACGCAGTCTAATATGTGCGTAATCTCAACATTTGAGGGTATTGTCTTAGAGTTGGGATTCTTAATTGGCCTATTGGGTTAGTGATTAGGGGCCCTGACCACTAAGCCACAGGTCGCGGGTTCAATTCCCGCCCAAAACAAATACTTGTGTACGATCATAGTACAGGCTGTGCCTAGTCGGTCGTGTGTGGGATGTGTCAAATTATTATGTTTAATTTTTGAACTGAACTGGAATGGTAGCCTTGATATTCATAGTCATGTCAGTTGTAATGATTATTGCGTTTTCGTTTTCTATTTTTATTTATAGATTAAGTTGTCAAGGTGTTGTCCTACCAAACCTCTTTTCTCCAAAGCATCTATTAATCAGTGTGGTATTAAGAAGAGCAGTTACCCCGTAATGGTCCATATGTGGTTTAATGTAAGTATCAAAAAGGCATTTGGTATAAAATGGTACCTTATATTTGTCAGAGACATTAAAAAGAGTCCTGTACTTCACGATACAATTCTAATTGTGTCCCTATTTTTCATTTTGAGTTACTAAATAATTTCAGTGTTTTCAATGAGCGCAGATGTGTCTTCAAACTGCAGTAAATCTTACAGAACACATATGACTCAAAATCATTTATTTGAATAGTCTAAGATAAATAAATGAATGGCGCATAATAACACAGCAAATGACTAAAATAGACTAAAATTGTTGTTTCAAAGGCTAATTAGCAAAGATTTATCATGAATATATGACACTTGTCATTCATATTTATATATATATACTCAAAAAGCTCTGCACCGATTGAGCTCAAATTTTGACATGATATACCAACCGCTTCAATTTATTTTTTGTTTCTATTTTTTGAGTGAGTTTTGTTCTTAATTTGTCATCAATACAATCACAATGTGCCAGCACAGCATTACAGCGAAGCAATATTACAGGGTATAGCTAGTAATATATAGAATGTAGACAAACAACTCATTACTAGTACTTGCTTTTTTTCAGTGTGCTGCAACAACATGTTTATTTGAAAAGAATAACCTTCTCCATGACAATAATACCATAAACTATTCCAAATTCAAACAGATGTTAGATGCTTGGTCTGCAGGCCAGACGAATATTGAAGATAGTGTAAAAGAAGCAGAATTAAAATGTTTTAGAACTAATCAAGGACCACCAATAGCTCAAAAACCTTTTGTCCCTGAGCCAGCTGTTTTCCATTATTGTGAAACTAATAGATTGTATGCATGCGTTTATCTCGTTACTCTGTGGGTGAGCATATTCTCAATATTTCTACTGAAATTATTGATTTTAATTGTGTTGAATGATTTGATCTCCCGTGGGAGTGTTTCGGCATTTATAGGCCTTGTTATCAGGACTGATACCATTGCCTCGGAGAAAACCGGTGTTATTCAATTCTTTCGTTGCCTTTCACTGAGTTAGGGAGGGTACCAGAGACCCAAACTCTCCGTCTCACTAATTTTGAGGAGACAGCAACGGACTTACGACACTTGAGTCTGCTCGTTTGCCCCCATTTCATAGGCTGAGACTTCCCAGTAGGCTGAATAATGCAGTTCGTCTCTCTGTCATATACGAGTACTATACGCTTAGGATAGAATACCAAAAATTATCTCAGATTTTCCTGCAAATAATATACAAAATGTAGCTTTTTTTTGTTTTTATAGGGATTATCATATTTATAGAGAAAGTCGACATGCACTTGAGTTGTTCACAGAGTAATTCTTTTTCGCATCATTCATGTTCTAGTTGAAGATGATCTTACGCCTACCCCTTAACTTTGTAGCCACTATAAAATCCACAAAATACTGCTAGTATTGCTACGTAAGCATAGGAATTACCTTTGAAAATGAAAGTGATATCCTTCATGCATGAACAATGTCTATTTTGTTCATGTATAAACAGTAATTATTTACTCAGGAGCCGTCCCGTACTGAACCACGCGGTCTGGTAAATTAAAGATGTAAAAAGCGTTATGAAGTGATGTTAATTTAAAAAAGATGGCATCTTAGACCACGCATTTTAAACACTCGAAAGACACTTCAGTAACTATACAACTCGTTAACTTAAGTTAAGTTAAGCAGTTGACGATTGACTTTGGTAGAAAATATACCTGAGAAAAAAAAAGATAATGGTTTATATGTATGTGAATGGATGGTATTTGTGGACAATGATTTTTTTATATTTTACATACACATAATATAGTATAGGATATTTTGTAAGTTAAGACAATTTACAAGAGTTAGAACTATTTATTGACATAGTTAAAGTACATTGTGGTATTTTTGTTTCAGAATTGTAAATTACAAAAGAACAAGATTTGTAATGAACTATCGCAAAAAGTTCGAACATGTAGACCATATTTATTCCAATCTGAATAATGATGTTAAATAATTTTGCACATTTTTCAAAATTTGTTTTCGAAGTGATCATGTTATTAAAACTCCTAAAATAGTTTCGTAACCATAACTTGAAAAAAAATCTTTCTCGGTTTGTCTGTGTTTTTCACCAGTTATAAAATATCTCAGAAACGAATAAAGAGATACTATGATCCACGTGTTTTTTTTTAAGGTGCTATACATCATTACTCATAAATAGAGGTGTTCGAACGTTGGAACGTTGTCGGAAAGCCATGCTTCAAGCTACAAATAGGTGTTGAGACTTTTTTTGTCGTGTTTCACTGAGTACGTAAGGTTATCATAAGCCGAAATAAAATCCTCTCCTTATTCTGAGGGGAGAAAGCAAATGGGCGGTTACGCAATTGTATCTCTTGAGTTGCGGATGGGGACGGTAGTCACTTACCATACTACTTTTTACATTTTATTGTTAAATTGGGATGTATGCTTCTTAATATATGTATAAAGGTACCTAGTTATGGTTACCTATCTAAGCATTTATGTACATAAGCAAACAAGCGCTAGCGTAAAACAGACTTTGTTCACTTCGTAAGCACTTACCGATATATCATTGATTCCTTTTTTTGTTGTTGTGGGGTTGCAAAATGCCGAGCATCGAGCATGTGATTCTTCGAGCGGATAAAAATCGGCAAAACAAATTAATAACATTTACGACTTTCGGTAAAATAAATTTCTTGAATTTAATAATAGACATATGTAGTAGGACCCGGACTATCTGATCTCAGATCCCCCTGTATTGGGCCCTATTCTGGCCCTACATGTTCTAATGGGCAACATCCAAATACTAAGAAATATTTTAATCCGAATTTCGAAGTTCCGATTTTCAAAAGGCCGAAAATTTCATAATACCTACCTAAGAATTATAATGTCTATTATTCATCATCATCAGCCTTTAATAGTCCACTGCTGGACACAGGCCTCCCCTTAGAAAGGAGGTTTTGGCCTACTATACCACGCTGGCCAGACGGGTTGGTATAGGGTTTGTTTCAAGTTTTCCTTCTCTCTGCAGTGTTGTTGTCCTGCGTAGTTTTCTCCCTTAGTCGCCTCTTACGACACCCACGGGATGAATAGGGGTGGTGACACTCTGTATTCTTAATCCGTCACCACACGGACAGAATGTCTATTATTAAATTCAAGAAACTTATTTTACCGAAAGTCGTAAATGTTATTAATTTGTTTGCCGATTTTTATCCGCTTGAAGAATCACATGCTCGATGCTCGGCATTTTGCAATTCCACAACAAAAAAAAAGAATTAATGATATATCGGTTAGTGGTTACAAAGTAAACAAAGTGTATTTCACTCTATGGCTAGTTTGCCTACGTACGTACGCTGGCCAGACGGTATACGGTTTGTGTCAAATTTTCCTTCTCTCTGCAGCTATTGTCCTGCGTAGTTTGTTCCCTTAGTCGACTCTTACGACACCCATGAGGTCAATAAACCCTTATTCTTAATCCGTCACTACAACACTAAAAATGTTGTTTGTATTTAATAAGGGCTGACGGTGACTGACTACCGCCGCACATTTATACCTGCAACTCAACAGGCACAAGTTAGTTGCCGCTATTTGATAGAATTCCCTTAGAATTAGGAGGGTCTTATGTCCTTGTATCAATAATTCTTTCTGTTTTCTTTAGTTTAGACAACGCAAGATTTAGTCTTCACTTTCAAAATTCGTTTTCTTGAATCATTTCAGACTTTTATCAAAATTTCATATGAACAGAAATAAGTGGATTTAGACGAATTCCACCCAGAGTCGAGCAATTTTATCTCACGCATCTCACGTCGAAAGCGTCATAAAACAGGGCTGTTCCTACGAAATAAAAAATCAGTCAGAGATCCAGTCATAAGACAAAAAGAATTCGGATGTTTTGATGTTCGAATTATAGTTTAGTAGGACTTTTTGTTCTTCGATCTATTGAAACTCGGTATTTTGGGCATAGTAATTATAAACGATAGAAATATTGTAATTTTTGAAATTTATTAATAGTCGAAAATCGGTATTTTGAAATTCGAATGGGTGTTGTGTACGCGTTCTAATGATGAGCTGATATTTTGGGAAGAAATAAATTAAGAAGACCCAATTAATGTCACTGTACACGGTATTACTAAAACATTCTCCTATTACTAAAACAAGTAACTGACTATAAAAACATAAAACATCTTATGGAGAATATAAAGGTTTACATCTGATCTAATTAGAACATTGATATAGGCGACTTCAGTTATCACACGTAATATAAACGTGTGACACCTAAATAAAAAGAGTAAAAACAAATTTGCAATATTAAAAATAAAAACAATGACAAACATCAAGCTATATGAAAATGAAAAGGTATATTTCAAAGCATTGTTCTTCATAGTTACAGCCTGTTTGGTAAGTAAAAATCAATTCTAAATATTAGCCGAAATTCATGAAACTCGCAAATAAGTCCTTTGAAGTAAAAAAAACTAACTCCGTCTTTCCGTTTAGAAGCTTTAATGCCACGCAGTGGATAGACAAACAGAAATACTAGTTAAGTTATATCGCCTTTCCTTTTAACCAACCGAAAGAGAAGGTTTTGAATTCGACTGAATTTTTTTTGTACGTTTATTTGTATTATTGTGCATCGGGCTTAACACTGGCTTCAAACAGACTAGAAGGTATCTATTGATCTAAATTTACCTGTTACGATGAGGGTCACACTTATTTTAGTTTCTTCAATGAAATTTGTTTTTTTTTTAATTTCGTCTTAATTTTTTTTCAAGGATTTTTAGTTTGGTTACTCAATAGTATAAAATCTATTATGAATAAAGCTGATAATAACGGTAATTTTAATTAATAAATTTTAATACTGGTTGCTATTGTATTAGTTTATACATACATGTGCATACAACTGCGACTGTATGACTAAGATCCGAATGAGTAAAGGTTTTTTTCTATCTGGAGTTTTTACCGGGAAATTTTGAGACTTAGTATAGGTATTCACTCACATTAGATCGTTGGTTGGGTTGTGTTGTAAAAACCATGATAGGGTATGTTTTTTGTAATGGTACACAGATATTTTTAAATTTACAGATTGTGTACACATCAAGTGCAGAAGAAAGGCCTGAGAAATGTATTGCAAAAGCAGATCTAATGGTACTTTTTTTTTAAATTCATATACACTATTATTTAGTAACGTTGGTAAGAAAAGACGTTTTAAATTATATGTGTCATAGGCAGGTATACAAATAATTTATCGTCTTATAATACAATAAAGCTGAACTTTACTATACGTTTATTACTTTAATCTGATTTCTATTACATAGCAAAAAGCAATCAAGTTCATGGTGACATCGGGATTTTAATAGTTGCTTAACATATTGTATTGAAATTTAAGTATAGTTTAAAATACTTTCTGATGGTTTAAGTAAAACATTGTGTAAATTCACAATATTTAATAATACGCCATCTAGTCATAAGAGCCAAAACGAAAGCCTATAAGTAAATTTTGTTCGCTTGTTCTCATGTAGTACATCTTTTTTGGTGCTAGTAATGCTGCAGATACTAAATGACAAGTCTTGTTAGTTCAAGTTTTTACGTAATCTTCCATGGTATTCGAAAGCTTAACACGGGGAATCTGCTTTAGGATACCTACATCATTGAACAGGGTTTCTTAATTTAGTCAATTCCCTATGTCGTCATTTTATATGTTTTCTATTATACCATACCTAATCTATGTTTATAAGTTAAGTTTACTACAAGAATACCTTTTATGATATTTGTGAGATCGAGAATATATCGGAATTGAATTGGGAACTAATTTTAATCACGAGGCTTCACTACGAAATTACCTTCAGGTCACAAACTATAGTCCATCTAATCTAAGAGGTATCGCTTGACGTTTCATACTTTTCAAGAAGAAACAACTTTGTATAGGCGTAACTCACACAATTTCAATAACCTTTTAAGTAAAGCCATGGAGTTATGTAACTATTTTTATTTTGTCGCAAGGTGTATAATTCTTAATGACTAAATTCAAATTTAGATCTTTGAAACAAAGCAAAATAACTAATTTACACACAATAGATTTTTTTTCCAACTTCATTTCGAAGTCACGTAGTTAGGTCCTTTACCGTAGCGTTCTGGCTCTTTAATTTCACTTAAATACAAATAATCCTTAAAATGTACGAAACAACAAATTTATTAATAAGGAGTAATTTTCAGTCCAGGCATCTTAAAGTATTTAATAATACTTAAAATTCATCTGACATCCAATACTCAACGAAAACGCCTAATTAAAATTAAAAGTATGTAAAATTGATGTAATTTTAAATTAATATTTCTAGGCAAAAATCGCTCGTGTCCAATTCCAATGTATACTAAGATTTACTAGTAAAACCTACGATGTGCCATTACACGGGCTTCTATGGTAACATACATAAATCTGTAAAACTGTAATCGATTAATACATACTAAGAAATGATATCGAAATCTATTAAGAATCAGATATCTTAGTAATCGATTTATTTGACACCATCGCTATACTTCAATCTGTCAGAACTGTCAAACGGTACCTCTTAGATTACATAGATGTCTATCTATGTAATCTAAGAGGTGACTATAAGACTAAAATTTTTGATTTATAACTTTTCATTTAGCAACTATCTTTAAATTAGGTAAACTATTTTTCTTTAATTTTGAAATTATATTGGAAACATTTACCAAATTTTCAACGTTTCTTTTTGCTTCATTCCTCTCTTCACACTCAGACACCGTCGCTCTGATATCGAACCTTGTAAGCACTGTGTTTAGTTTTAATATAGTATAGTATAAAAACAGTGTTTTAATATATATCTCACATATCTCACACATCTCACACACGGCCGTCTGATCCCATACTAGGCAGAGCCTGTACTATAGTAACCAGACCGCTGATAAACATACTTATATATTTTTAAATTATGAAATTTATGTTGCAACAGAAACGAAATATTTTCTTTTTTCAGTATCGGGTTTGCTGTGTTCAACCTCCGTATTTCACTCGAGAAGTGGCTAAAGAATGCGGCGCTGGCTTTGAGCTGCTATATGGAGATCGAGAGAATAATGTCACTGGATACCGACGACTTAGTTATACTGTAAGAATTAGTTTTTTTTTAAAGACCGAAGACCTCAAACATCGTAAATATAAAAAAAAACCCAGTAATTTTGTTTTTGAATCGCTTGAGGTCGAGATGGTCATGGGGTCTGAGTGCTCATTTTTAGTACAGAGACTTAGTATTGGCATTTAACATGGCAATAATAATAATAACTTGACACAACTCACACACGGCCGTCTGGTCCCAAACTAGGAAGAGCCTGTACTATGGTAACCAGGCAACTGATAAACATACTTATATATTTCTAAATACATAAGTATTGTAGATAAATTAGACCCAGACACAGAACAATAAATGATCGTGCTTATCACACAAATATTTGTCCTGTTTTAGAATTTAACCCATCATTGGCTTAGCAGGAAAAAAATACATTATTTTAACGATAATTTGGTTTGGGAACCGTTTGAGGTCGAGATGTTAGGTCGTGGGATCCAAATCCTCGTTTTATTAATAAAGAAATGTCTTATTGAGACTTCTTGTGCCCAGTAGGCCTTTTCTAGCGCAGAGAATTTTAGCATTGCCATTCAACGTTTTAATATTTGCAGCCATCTGACACATAACTTATTTTTATGCTTCTAAAAGACTTTTTATGAAGTAAACAATGTTTAACCACAATTTTTATAGTATGGTGCTATTCTAACTGTATTAGTTTTGTTTTAGTCATGTGGACATTGGTATTGCGTACTGGATAAGTATGCATTAATTACGAATGAAGGTTTCCTTGATCATGAAAAATTCTTTGCTCACCTTGATGTTTGGGTGTCTCTAAACCCAGTTTTTTCTAAAACGATGATCAGCGCTAAACGTTTGTGCGCACAAAGCCATAGAATCTACTTCCCTTTGAAACCTTGTGAATTCTTTAATCTATTAATGTGCATCAGAAATTACGTCAACGTGGTGAGTTACAAAATTAATATTTTTTATTCAGTTAAGCTTCAACTTTCAAATATCTAATCCAATGTTTTATTACTTAATACTCGAGTTAGTACTAAAGTATAATCGAACTGGTTTAAATGCTAAATAAAAAAAAATGATCGTGTTTTATCAGTTACCGTTCTGTCTATCCGATCATCATCCTAATCTTTTTCTGTATACGTTGTCAAATAGGTATACAGCAAATGACATAAAGTTACTTTTTCTCAAAAAAAAAATACGTCAGTGAAGCTTCGGACAAAAGTTATTTTGCAATAAAACGTTTTGTAATAAATAGTAGTAATAAACAAAATTCTTATGAGCTACTTCTTCTTTGTCAAAACACACAAAATTTAATCCAGTTCATTTGATCCAATCATCACACAATCTCTAAATTCTACAAATTCTCTTCTGTTATAATTCTTCTATTATTTATAAGTATACGTGTAGTCATTGTTCCATTTTCGATCGCTCTTCTCATAGTCAATGTCGCAGGGTCATCACAAGATTCATTCTTTATATATTATGTTGGGTATGCTTAAGAAAGTATGTAGGTATGTACACGTTGATATGTTTATACATTTATATTTTGTTTCCTCTTGCATGACCGTACTTCTTAATATTTTGCTCTTTTATTTACTCTACAATAAATCAGTTGACTGTAGTGCATCTACTCACCCATTTTCATACCACCCTAAAATAGACTGGTAGAAAATGCCTATAGCATTAAGTCTGTAAATGTAATTTTTTGTGCTTCATTATTAACTAACTTTAAAAAAAAGCACTTATACGCATATGTCGAAATAAATTGTAATAAACTGTATTCTTATACTCCGCCCTTAGGGATAGTATTTCACTCTTCAAATTTTTGTAGGACCAAACTGGAACTATACCCTACTACTAAAACAAGACTTTTTCCAATCGGTTCACAAATGACGACCAATGACGGTTCCAACTCCTCCAATTTTCTTCTGATTAATTAATTTCCGTGTGGTGACGGATTAAGAATACAGATTGTCACCACCCCCATTCATCCCGTGGGTGTCGTAAGAGCCGACTAAGGGAGCAAACTACGCAGGAGAACAACACTGCAAAGAGAAGGAAAACTTGCAACAAACCCTATACCTACCCGTCTGGCCAGCGTGGTATAGTGCCAAAGCCTCCTTTCTAAGGAGAGGCTATGTCCAGCAGTGGACTATTAAAGGCTGTTGATGATGGATGATGAATTTTGTTGCGGGTTCCAAGACAGTTTAATTTCTTCCTGGGACTTCCCGAGTGTCGTAACTCGGTGTGTTCGTGGGTCACTGCTGTGGATCCTGGTGTACAGGAGTTACAGTGGTGGGCGTGTGGGTGGGATTAAAAAAAAAAATGACGAACTTCTGAAATAACATATATAAAAGAAACTATAACCTGATTTAGAACTTTTTCTTTTCTTTTGAAGTCGGTAGGTAAAAATAAAGTGTAATATGTAACATACATAATTATATTAGGTTTCATGATTTTCATCATATGTCATTTTCAGGAATGTCCAATCATCATCCCGACAAAAGAATGTAGAGAACAAAAAGCATTCTTCAGAGAATGTGGTCAGTATTATGTGGAAAAATAGTTCATCCCATCTGTTGAATAAGCTTTCAAGTCTAGCTGACCACAATTTATCATGGGAGAGTCATACTTCAGAACACATTTGACGGGAGAGAGACCATGGCCTCACAGAAAATCGGTGTTAGACAATCGGTGTTTACAGAATGTGTGAGGATAATAATTCTAAGGGGGCTTAAAAAGTGACTACACACTTGTATCTCTTGAGTTTACAGGTGACCCCTCTGCTCTTTTAGCTCCTTGTACAAGACATAGGACAAAATCACAGTGAACTGTGTGTGAATTTTTGCGTACGTAGTTTAGGGTTAGGTAGGTAGGTTGGACGCTATTTAACAGTAAATCTAGTTTTTTTTTATTATTATTATGTAGCAAATAGTAGATATATAAAATAAAATAATTACTAGATTTACGGTTAAATAGGCGAAATAGGGTCTTTGTGCATCGTCTAAAACCAGCTTATTGGCTACAGCGAGTAGTAAGTAGTAATCCTAACCTACGTATAAAAAAATGGAATGATAAATCACCGTTCATTCACAGTTTACTGTCGTTTTGTCCAATGTCTACCTTGTACCATAGAATTGGAAATTTAAATCTTCAGCATTGTCACTTGATCACATGATTAATGTTTGTTCTGATTGTAACCGTTTCGTGAACTCGAAACATGTTGTAATAAATGCTCATAATAAGCTTGATTTATGTGTCATTTATTTTAGACTTTCTGAACATGCACTTCTCAATGTAAACAGGCTCTTCAAAATACGAGTCACAAATTACTACTTGACATTGTAAGCGCTGTTAAAGGGATATTGATTGTTATTAATATTTGGTATGCCATATGGTGGTGTGGCATGGGCTTAACAACAAACCTATTTATATGTGTTAGTAGTATGTATATTGTAAACGTATAAACGTAAAAAAAAAAAAAAAAATCACATTTGACAATATCTGTGTAAAGGTTGTCTGTAAGAGATCGTCGTGAGCGATGAGACCGCCTGTTGTAATACGAAAATGTAGACGTCCATCTATGTCGGTACAATATACATATACTGCAGTGGTGTACAATAAAAATAAATACATAAATAAAGAACATCGTATTTACTGGTAAAAAAAACCTTTGGAATAATTTAAAAACGCCAATTGCTACATGCAGATGTTTGTTTCCTGTGGTTAAAATTAATTATTTATGATTCCTCGTGAATTTAAATAAGACAACAATGCAAAATTTTATTTATTACTGTTTTATTTATAAAGTAACCATTGATTTTTGCTGAAGTTTGCAAGATACCTACACCTAAAAACCAGCTTAAATATTTTTTGTCCGTTTTTTCTGGGTAATGTTTAAAACGGCTAAACCGATTTTCATAATATTTTACAACCAGGTAGCTGTCTATATAAGGAGTAATTTAGGCTATTTTCCTCTCAGAAAAACCCTATAAAATTTTGCCCAGTCCGGTAATCGAACCCGAGGCCTCATGGACTGCAGTCGCGTACCATACTACACCACTAAGGCAGCGCTTTTCAAATTCCATACGAACGAAGTGGCGGGTACCAGCTAGTTAGACATAATTCTGCCACTGAATAATGATCTTATTATTATTTTTTATGTTAAAGGGTAAACTTCTATCGTGGGAGAGCCATACTACGACATATACGGCTGGCTCACTCACTCACTCATTGCTTAAAAGTGATTTTTAAATAGCCTGTAGGTTCGGTCGAGCCGGCCGATATGCCGAAGCAAGACGCTCCCACGGTATCAAAAACACTTTGATTATATTTGGAAATACATTAAACAAACCAAACGACTTGTTAAATCATAATATGTACTATTGCAACGTAACAAGACCCGGTTGTGGTTACGTATTCTTACAGTTTCCTAAACATGATCCTATTACTTTTACGTAAAAAAATCTTAGTCATAACATTCCTTCATTGACATTTAATGACAAGTGAAAAGTGTTAGTGCTCACAACACAGTCTAACCTTTGCGTATTTTTAAGAAATATTGTAATGAAAATATTGAAGGACCGGTATACAGACATAATGGATCTCATAAGAATATTAATATTGATAATTGGAATGTGTATGGTAAGTATTTTTTTTATTTTTCACGTAAACATAAATTTATTTTGTTTACTCACCACAATATAAACACAATTTTCATTTAGGTTTAACATAACTTAGCAATTAGATATCTGTGGCATCGATCAATATGTTTAATTAAAATTTTGAAGTTCAAATATTTATTTCGGGCAAAATTCATATCCATATAATGTTAATAACAGTGTGTCTAAAAGTATATAGTGTTAGTAATTATCAATAAAGTTATTTACCGTGCGGGTCCATCGCGTGATAGATGGGGGGGCAACACATGCGACTTCGACTTTGTATGACATGACTTTACATGCTATATAATAGAAAATACTAATGTAAAAAAACTCCTAACACCACTAAAACACTATTACGTTAGTGGAACCAAAATTATAATTGGCAAAATGACGGTATTTAAGCCTCCTCTGACAAACCCTTTGGGCTATAGGCATGAGTGTATAGGTATATATACCTTTGTATGGTTACTACAGGTAGTTTAACATCCACTTTAATGTAAATAATCGAATGTGTTGCTGTTATACAGGCCGTGCAAGTTCCGACAGAAAAGATTAAAAATCTATATGCTCCTCGGCTCGAACGATGTGTTGGGAGCCCAGAGTTACTAGTACGTACACAAATAAAATCACTATATTGTTTATATTTATAGTTAAAGTAACCTATCTTTTTTTCTAGACTACTTTCGTTCTCAATTCTCAAGTTTTTAGGGATTTTTGATATTTAAACGCTACTATTTTATATAAAAACTATTTTAAATAAAATTATGTACGAGGACATGCCATTGTCCTTTTAATACAAAAAAAATATATTTGTGCAGATGTATCTTTCAGCACAACGTGTCATAAGTTATTTGTATTAAGTAATTGTGGGACAAATACAGTTACCAGATATTATCTATTAATCAACCTCTTTTATGTTTAAAAACTATGCCACCACTTAAAGTCAGTTTTTCTCTCAATTCAAATTCAAAATTTCCTAAAATTGTTCCGTTATTCACTGAGTTACTATAACGTCTTTAAATTTAGACCTTTCTGTAACTGTAAAAATAAACTAAAAAGTCATACGTAATAATCAGTAATAAAGCGTATTTACATAAGCAATACATATTTTGTACTACATTTAATTTGTTTTTAAAATAAGGTACTTGATTTTATATCGCTGACACCCTGAGGTCCAGTGGTATAAAATAATCTCCTTCTGGTCAAAGAGCCCCGCATTCTGATAACGTATTAAGTTTATTTTTATACAGACTTGTACATGAAAATTTTAAGCACAACTCTGTATACAAGCGGACTGTTTAAATAAATACACAAAGTATATAATAATCAAATCGTGTATATTTATATTTCAGTATAGATTTTGCTGCGCCATACCACCATTTTTTACTCAAGCAGTGGCTAAAGCTTGTGGAAGTATGAGTAAACCTTTTCTTATGAGGAAAAATGTAACCGGAATTCTTCGACATATGTTTGATGTATGTAAAAATTCGACCTTTTCATAATTAGTTTTGGTCATTTAACCGTGGCGGTAGACTATTTAGCTACAACGTCAGGAACAGCGAACAGAACAGTATTTTTTTTTTGTATACCTGTGTGCATTAATTATATTTAAAAAATGTAAGAATTTCTAGGATCACATTTACAAACTCTGCTTTACTTTAATCTAGACAAAGCAACTTAAAATGTCCCAGGCTATTATAATTACTTATTCAAGAGTTTCTGATAGTATTTTTACTTTGAGACTTCAAGTTTATTACAACCTTCTACTGAATACGATAATAATTACATCTGTTATTTAGAGGCTAAATTTAATCGTTTAACTATCAACATATGTGAAAACAAATTACGTTCAGTTTCAAACAAAGCGCTTTCTTCTATGGACACTAAAATTATTTTCTGTTAAAGTTTTATCAAAACTACAGATCTAAAATCTTCAAAAAATTACGAAAAAGGCCTATTATGTGAATATTTTTTTAATAATATATATAAATAGAAACACATTGAATTGCTAAGACGAATCGATATAATAAAGAAAAGAGCTGGATGGAGCAATAACTCCTCCGATTGGAGCTCTCTCACTACGAGACAGCTCAGTGGTATCTGCTGCTTCTGAAGAAGAAATTGACAACGTGCAAGCAATACTAGGGTTCACCAATAGTAACGCAGATGTTATGAAATCAAAGGGCCATCTGAGCTCTCTTTCTATCACGTCTCGGGAACGGATCTTCTTTTGTACCACACAAACCTGATAATTGCATGATGAATAGTTAAGTATTTATACAGACAACATAAATACTAGAAATGGAATGAAATCAAAATCACATGTCAAAAATCATATCATCACATCTGTGACTTATTTACAAAACCACTGCTACTTAATTATTATTATTACGCTAGCGTCACAACATTCACATGTGAAATCGCTGTGACTAAAACCAATCATTTCATGCAATTAATATATCATAGAAGAAGCATTAATTTCCATATCTAATAAATACTAAACCTACCACCATGAAACTTTTTTTGTCAATGTATAAAGGGCAAACGAACACCCTCGTCATCTGATGGTAAGTACTAAGGTCAATCGACAGCTCTAACTAAAGAGTCACAAGGGCGTTGCTGCCTTTTTTTCGGTTAAGAAATAGAGGGAAGAGAGATTTGGGGCTACGGTTACCTCACTTGGTGATTAGGAACGAAACAATTTCTTAGAACTGGTTTTCTGTGAGTCCGTAGTAACACTCGGGTCGAGTCAGCCTATTTACACCGAAGCATGAGACTCTTTTTTAACAATTTTACTAATTTTATAAAATAGCTCCATGCTTCGGCTCAAATAGGCTGACTCCAGAGTGTTACTACGGCCTCAAAATTAGTAAAATTTTAATTGTGCAAATAAATTTTAACATTGCAGTGCTCCTACTGGTATTGCACACTGAATAAATATGACCTACTAACATCAAAAGGCTTTGTCGATTTGGATAAATATTTTATACATTTAGATCTTTGGACACATTTGAATACTGCATTCAGTGATCACATCATCGATGCTAAAGTGAATTGTAAAGAGAGTCACCGATTCCATTTACCTTTGAATCCTTGTGAATTCTTCAGGATGAATGAGTGTGTAAGAAACTACCTGAAAGTGGTAAGTGTACTTCGATTGGAAATATTGTTACTGTATATAGATTAAAGGGCTTAAATTTTATGTTATGTTTAATTTGAGTTAGAGTTATGCGAGCCTGATTTGCTTGAGCTATTGCTAACATTCCAATTATAATGAATTAGCAGTTCCAATTCTTACCTTCTCTTCTGATCTAATTTTCTTTTAAACTCCAAAATTTCTCATCTAATCCCTATAGTGCTCTGTTATTGGCAGTAGACTTGTCTCCTATTTTTGGTACAGGTGGCGTTTCGAAGAGATAGTTGTTAGTATGTTTATGTATACATCCGTACAAAAAGTCCGTGTAGTGACGGAATAAGAATACGATAATGGAGATAAGAATGTAACTACCCCAATTCATCACGTGGGTGTCGTAAGAGCCGACTAAGAGCGCAAAACTACGCAGGACACCAGCACCTCAAAAAGAAGGAAAACTTGACACAAACCCTATACCAACCCGTCTGGCCAGCGTGGTATATTAGGCCAAAACCTCCTATCTAAGGGGAGGCTTATGTCAAGCAGTGGACTATTAAAAGCTGTTGATGATGTTTATGAATGGCCAGAAGACCATTACACTTGACAGACAGTGACTATCCGTCACAGTCATCCCAGGCCAATCGTAGGCATAGTTAGCAAAATCAAGTAATCGACTTCAAATTAATCAGCCAGCTGATTACTAAGCCTGTTTGCATCATTAGATAATCACTGGCAAGTAAAAAAAAGGATACATTTTACTCAAAGTTTCATTCACAACTTGAGTAAATTGTCTCTAATTTCGGCACTCTTTCATAAGTTACTAAAAGTATTACTAACATTTATTTACTCATTTTTTAAATTATTTACAGAAGTGTTCTCATCCTTTTCCAACTAAGGGATGTCTTGAACAGAAAAATTTCTTCGATGCATGTGGCGACTATTTCGTTTAAAATGGTTATAAAATAAATCAGTTTCGTTAAAACAGTTCATCTTTTTTAACTACATTCCATTCAAAGGTTTTCTTATAAAAATATCTATATACGGTTTTTCTTACAATAACAAAACATAGAAGGTATCACTAAACTATCAGTTGAAATATATTTTTCCCAATTGGACCTTGACAAGGCATTTTGATATTCTGTTGTTACAATAAAAAAGAATATTTGAGGATTTCGACTCCCGGTATAAATTAAAGTAGATCTATCTTCCTGTTTCTACCTTTTTGTATTTCCTAACATTGTTTCGTATTAAAAAATCAAAGTACGAAGTATAACACCAGTGGTGTTATACTTCGTAGTTTGTTAAGAGAAGGAAAACTTAATACAACACCATACCATCGCGTCTGGCTAGCGTGGTAGAGTAGGCCATAACCCAAATTCTAAGGAGAGGCCTATGTCCAGCAGTGGACTATTAAAGACTGTTGATAATGATGATAAAGAAATCCCTAATAAGCTAAGACCATGTCGAAACATTACTATACATCCCCGGGCAGAAAACTATTAAGTAAAGAACACTTTATTTAAAACATTTATTTTATTCTAATATCGAAACTATTGAGACGATGAAATGACAATATTTCACGTCGATACTTATTACTAAATTACGCTACGTAATCATTTACTATTACAATACAATTTATGCATACATTCAACAGTGATTCATTATCATTCTTTTCTACACACAATGTGTGGTAGCAGAGTAATTATCGTTCATTCAGTCATAAGACAATTGATAATAGCGTTTAACAAAATTACTCTGCCAACACTTATTAATACTGTCACGTAAATGCTCATAGAACAACTTACTTACATTATCACACGCACCAGTAATCCCTTATCACTTTCCTTTAAGGAATGTTAATTAAACTAAGCTAACAGTCTTAAACAGCTTCAAGGGAGAAGTCGAGGACTGTACCGGCCGAAGTATAAAATCATACCAGATGGATTATGCCTCACAAAGTAGAGGAAGGGTCTATCAAACTTTAGACGAACAGGCTGGTTGCTCCTGGCTGGTAAACGAGCTTGTCTAGGTCTTAGATGCAAGGGAAGATGCATAGCATCACTAATGTCGTGGGGATCGTGAAAGGCTCTTTGATAATCCCTTGGTTCATCCCAATTGCTTAACCATCGAGCACGACGTCTCTGAGCCACGGTTAATGTTTCGGGATATTCTTCAATATGATGTTGTTCACCAATCACCCCTTCACCGCATGTAACAAACGTGTTCAATTGTACCATGTCAGATAAATAAAGATCTGTTGAAGGTCCATTTAAACCACCTAAATCAGCATGTTCACCGTCAAATAAGTCCTTTAATCCCATTTTCTTCAGCGTTAAGGAAGCATTGAACGTGGACTTATGTGAAAATCTTGGGATTTGCAGTTCTAGACCATTGCGAGGTAAGAGCGAGCGTAGGACGCGGTTCCATGTTGGGGTAGTTGGTACAGAATCTAGCAACCTCTGTTCAAGCTTTTCTAAATCATCAGCATGGACCACATTTCCCTGCTGTCCAGGCATTAAGAACAATGTGCTGACTATAGTATTAGTGTTTCCTAACGCAGCCACAGTAACATCTAAGACCGGCTCGTAGCCGGCTAAAAATCCTTTCTTGTAAACAACTGCTGGCACAGGAACAAGGCGCCTTTGTCTGACATTTGGAGATACCACGAAATACATTTCACCATCTCTGCCGTCTACCGATGTGCCAGAGCAATCAGTCTGAAATAAACACATAAATACAAATTAACGTTTTATAATATAGTAAAATATAAGGAATTACTATTTATAAGCTGACGCCTACCTGGAAAATGTTAGCAGTAAATGCAGCTAGAGGTGGTTGCATTACAATGTTATTAGTTTTCATATATTCAGGCATTTTGCCCCAAGTATATCTTTTGACGAGTAAATTTGTTCTCCTTCTGATGATATCACTGATTAATTTAAAATTAATCTCCTCAACATGTCCATTGTAGAAATGTTGAGCCCTGTCTTTATAAAATGTTAAAATTTTACCCTTATTTCTGTCACTATAGAGTTCTCTTGCGAATGCTGAAATAGCAACACCTGATTTGGGAGAAGTTTCAATCGAGTCAGAAATATTTTTCAAAGCGAAATGGGGGTTAAAAGTAACCATATCATCTAATTTAAGTATTTCGTTCATTTCTCCTGAGGTTGACCCTCTTGCTCCCATAAATATCATAGCCAGCATTGAAAATGTTGAATATGGTGAAAACACAAAACTTCTTCGTCTATCAATTTCACCAACAATTACACTCCAATACCTAAAAGCTAGTTCATTGGATAGTTCTGAAAATCGTGCAATATCTTCACCTAAATCCTTTGTGGTTACTTCCAAACCTTGATTTTCGTTTGAGAACTCCAACACTACATTTTTATTATCGTTATTTTCTTGATTGTGTTGATCATCAGATTTAACTTTCAGGATTTCATTTACCTTCGGTGGTGATAAAGTCGGAATTAGTTTCCACGAATTATTTCTGTTTCTAATCAACTCTTCTTCATCAATGTTCACTTTCTGAATTTTTTTCCTAAAATCATCGACTTTAGGCAAAGGTTCTGGAAGTTTACCGTTCTTATTGATGCCAGTAGTTTTGTCAATAAAATTAATTTTGTTAATTGTAGAAGGAATTATTTTATTCGTTGTAAATATTTTAGTTGCCGAATCTAAATTTGATAATGTTGTAGTAATTTCAGTAGTAATTTCACGATCTGCCCCGGTTACTGAAGCTTCATTATAATTTTCTGTTTTTGGAATGTCTGATTTCTGCATTCCATCTTTTAGCTCAATATTACTATGTGCTGGGATTTGTTTAGTCTCATTTAATTTATTTTCACTTGTGTTTACAATAGAATCAATTTTATTAACAGATATTTGAATATGATTATTTCCAACTATTTCATGAGCAGGCAATACAATTTCATTTGGCTCAGAAATCGTTTCAATGTTCTCTTTTTTAGGTGGTTCTTCGCGTATATTTAAATCACTTATTGCTACTGTATCACTTATTTTAGTCATTTCTTGCTCAGATTTTAGGGCTACAATTTTTTCTGTTGTTGTAGATGTATCTTTCTTTACCTTCAAAGATATTTCAGATGTCGCTTCTTCAGGATCTTTGGTACTTCCTACAGTTGCCTGTGTTTGATTTTCTTCAATAGTTGTAAGTATTTCTTCTTGTTGTTGTTTAGAGTCTACTATAGTTGGTGCTTGGTTTACTACTTGTGATAGTAAATCACCCATAGATTCCGATAAGATGGGATCGATTGTAGTGGTAGTGGATTCAGTGGTAGGGAGTGTGCTTGCCAGCTCTATTTTTTGGACATTATCTACAATAACATTATTTTTTTCATTGTCAGAATTTTCTTGAATAGGAATGTCTCTGATCTCAGTAAAGTTTTTATTTGAAATATTATCTTTAATTTTTTCTTTGTTGTTTTGACTATGAGGATCAATAGTTGATATTTTAACAAAGTTATCTTCATTTTTATCCTTACTCTCTGGAGTCCTAAAGTCAGTATCGTTACCAGTGCCAGAAGGCATATCTATATCTAAATTTTCTTTGCTTTCTGAATCTAATTGACTTTCGTTGCTGTTATCTAGTAAATTATTAGTTGTAGGAATAGGCTGATAGCTGCCGCCAAGATCTGAAGCTATTTGGCTTATGCTTTGAGCAACGTCAAAAAGCGGTAAATTGCTATCAGTATTTTCGTCTACATTACTGGGTCGGTTTACCTTGTCAGCAGATAAAAATTCAGTTGATGATACAGTAGTAGACGGTGGCACTGATTGAGTTGTTATTGTGGTAGTATTTATTTTTTCCTCGAATTGATTCCTTTCCGTGCTTACATTTGGATTAAAAGTGGTTCCAAGTGGTTGAGTTTTTATTATTTCGGTGGTCGGAGTTTCAGGAGTACTAGATGTGTATTCCATTGTTGTTGGGCTTGTGGATACGAAAGCTAATTTAGTTGAAAAAACCGGTTTGCGTGTGGTGCGCTCAGATACATATTTAACAGTAGATAATGGAATGAATGTGCTTATTCTTTCAAACTCGACTTCATTTTTTTCTGTGCTTAGAACAGCATTAGCATCAGATTGAATTTGTACATTGATTTCTTCGTCATTCGTAGGTGTAGAAACACTCACAACGTGCTTCTTTGTGGTTGACTCGGGCCTTAATGTTGTAATTTTATGTGTTGTTCTTATAATTGGTTTTATTGTTGTCGGTACCACAGTACTTAATGTAGTACGAGGCTTCGTTGTTGTTTTTGTTTGGAGTACACTAGCAGTAGTTATTCTAGTTGTTGGTGAAGGTTTGTTAGTAGTTAAAACTACTGGTCTTCTTGTAGATGTATTAGCAATTTGATCCGTAGTAGACTTAGGAGTTATGGTTGTAGGTTTAGCAGTTGTCGATGCCTGCTTGGTTGTAGTAGTTGTAGGCTTCGGAGTTGTAACTGTCAGCTTAGGTGTTGTACTTATGGGCTCAGCAGTTGTAGTTGTAGGCTTAGGAGTAGTAGTAGTAGTTGTAGTAGTAGTTGTAGTAGTAGAAATTGTAGTTGTAGTAACTTTAGGAGTTGTCTTCTCTATTAACTCAACTTTTTCATCTGCTGCCAATGTTGAACTAGTTAAAACTTGGTTATATCCTTCTTTGCTTAATAAATTTTCATCACCCTGCACACTTTCTTCTATAGTTTCAGTTTCTGGTGTAGTGACAGCTCCCGAGGCCTTGTCAACAACGATATCGACACCAGTATTTCCAAAGATAGATGGCAGAATTAAGCTCCATGAATCAGAAACATCTGGTGTGTCAAGTGTAGGTTGAACATAAGGTCTATTTTTATGGGCTTCCATTTGTGCTTTAAGTACATTTTGAACATTCGTTACTACATTATGAACTTTATTGTACGGTGGTTGATGTACGTTGAAAGACACAGTAGGAGAATTTTCATTGGCAAAAGTCACTAAGCTTTCATTATCTTCACCAGCAGCAACGATAGCTTGGATTTCTTCTAAAGTCATGAGCCTCTTGACTAGTTCGCCTGATTCGTCAAAGGTATAAAATTCATAGCGATCAGGGGTGAGAAGATTGACTGGGCTTCCGACAGTAGCTGGCACGTTTGATGGTGGTGGTAACGAGTTGCCAACAGCATCAGCCACAAATGGTAGTTTATTACGTCTGAAACGTAAAAAATACGTATTAGAATATTTATAGCTAAAATTATATTCATTTCACACACGTCAGTCTGATCCCAAACTGATAAACGTACTTAAATATTTCTAAATACACACATATCATAGATAAATTACACCCAGATACAGTACAAATAATGATCGTGCTCATCACACAATTATTAGTCCTGGGTGGGAATCGAACCCACACGAACTGCGGTTTAGTAGTGAGGGTCACTAACCACCAGCTCCACAGGCCCGTGAGGCTATTGAAAAAAATATATCAAAATTTCACACAGGTTTGTCAAATAAAATAAAATGATTAAAGATCAAACTTTTCTCCATTATTCTCCTTAAACAAAACAATTAAGATAGGTTAACTTACCTATTTTCATTTTTGTCAGCCAAAGTGCAGGCGGTGACGAGTATAAAACAAAGAAGAACCCGCATCTTCACCTCCCATACACTCAGAATGGACCTGAAACTGAAAACAAATTACATATTAATTTACTTGAACTTGAAGACAGTATGATGAAAGGGCAAAATAAATTGGAGAAATATCAATTTTGAATAAAATATTGAAGTCTATCATATCAACCATTACTTATTTTAGTATAGGCTATATAAACTGACGGATGGAGTGACGATTTGCGCAAGATGGCTGGCAGGAGCTGGATGCGAAAAGCCCAAAATCGTTCTAAGTGGCGTACAATGGGAGAGGCCTATGTCTGAGTATATATATATAAGTAGTGGACTGCGATAGGCTGATGATGAATATGGTTTTATATGGTAAATACATAACTATGTAATGAAATAACTACCGTTCCGCAAAACTTTAAAAGATCACAAACAGTTTTATTTGCAAAATCTCCTATTGACACAAAACATACCCGATAACAAACCGTATAGTAAAATCCATACAAATAAATAAAATTGAAGTGTTTGTGTTCATGCGCACACATTTTTTCTCATGTTTTTTTTTTGCCGGATACCTATGCCCAAAAACCAGTTTTTTTTTGTTTGATCATATTTCACTACCAGGTAGCTGTCTATAGAAGGAGTAACTTAGACCATTTTTCCTCTCAGAGAAACCCTTTAGAATTTTGCCCGGTCTGGAAATCGAATCCACTACGGCAGCGCTTTGCTTTGTAGAAGTCGCGGGTACCAGCTAGTTATTACTAAACCTGTTAAAGAAGTAAATCTGCGAGCATTCAAAAACAAACGCTACATTAAACTTAAATCCACATTTGATATCATTGCACGGTTTATTGACACTAACAAAAAACAGTTTTTTTTGGAGAAATGAAAACAGTAGGAAGTTAAGTTTCTTTTGTTGGTACTGGGTCTGCTTTTTGTCAAGTCGTCTGCCAACAATATGTGGGTCACCTGACTCACGAGACGTGAGGTCATTCAACTTTAATGGTGACATACGAGCATGTACAGTTTGAAGCTTTTTAATGGACTACGTCGCTAATTACCGTGTACATAATATTATGCTATACTTTCTACCAGTACAAATCATAAGAGACTGTTGCATTGTTTAAAAAAATATTGACGGTAGAGGGACTCGTAGCTAAGTGGAAACCGAGTAGGTTAGCACGTTGTGAAATTAAGCAATCCTATCCTGGTCAGTCTATGGATTGGTGACCTTTCTTAACACATTGTGATCCCTCTCTGCCTCGGAGAGTACATTAAGGTGTCGGTCACGGTTGCCATAGAAGTATCTGTGGCAATAATCACGGGTAGTTGCTGCCTTAGAGTCCGACAATAGAACAGAACTTCGATATCGCCTAGAACTTGGGTTCTGGAGGTCTAATGGCAGTCGTTCCACGTGAAAAATTGAAGTTCAGCCGTGTCGTAGTAGACGGAAAACCGACCTAATCCAGTTTGGGAAAAGGTTCGGAGGATGATGATTTATAGTTTTTAATTATGGTGTTTCAATTTATTCTATTAGTGATGAAAAAGTCATTTGAGGAAGCGTTTAAAGTGATTTTTTTAATCACTATTGAGTAACGACTCAACAGTTACTCAATCCATAGAACAAATATTTCCCAACATTGGAAGCAATAACAAAATGTCTCTTAACTTATTGATAAAAAAAATTGTAAATACGTTTTATTTAAGGTTTTGTTTGTCATGCCATGTCACTAATCGTCTCTAAAATTATCCACAACTGGCAAAAATTGAACAATCAATGCACATATCATATACCGTTTGTAATCTTACAGTAAAACCAAAAAAAACAGTGTCATGCTCACAATGAAACGGAATCCAAATTACAAAAAAAAAAGTATTCAAGATAATATAATTAAGTCCACATGTCGACATTCATCTGTGTTACTTAAGAGCGATTTTATCTCAAAATTTTGACAAGCGACTAGATGATGCAGATAGTTCGTGTTGCGGCAATGGCCCAATGCTCCACGGTCGGGTGGCTGGCAACAATCGTTGATACCCGTTACTAGCTGCCGATGTGACCCGTGAGACTGTTACACTTTGTGGTCTTTGAACATAGACGACAGCGAATTGAGGGCTGCAATTATGACAAGGAACATGTTCAAAGATTGTGACTAGAACAGCTGGCGTTTTATGGAATGCTTTATAAGATTTGATGGGCTTGTTAGTGATTATGACTAAGGATAAATAATTGTATGATAATCTCGATCATTTGTTCTTTATTTGGGTGTAATTTAAATAGAATATTTTTGTATTTGGAAATATTAAGGAATGTTATCACCAACCTGATTACCATAGTATAGAAATGTGAATTGTGTCAAATTATTATATTATTATATGATTTTGATCTAGTTCTTTCTCATGCAAATATTAATAAAATTTAAGTTGAAATTTAAAATACTCAATGCTATATTTAATTTAATTGAGTGAATTGAGATCTGTCGATTATGGAGCATCTTCATAACACCGTATTTAGATTTATGCTAGTCATTAGCGTTAGTGTTTTTTTTAGTATGTTTTGTATTTATATGAGTCTGCATGTCTTTGTATTCGCATCATTATCAGCAGCCTTAATCTATCCACTGCTGGACATAGGCCTCTCCTGAGAAAGAAGTTTTTTTTTTGTATTCGCATAGGAACATAAATCTATACACCTTTTAGCTGCTACTTTTTATGACTTGGACCACAATTTTCACATGAGTGCTGACATTGACACGGCGCTCATGATGTAACGGGGAAGTAGGTCATTTGCGTCTCGTCATAAAACAATGCTTTTATTAATTAGCCAACGGATCATTTTTATCGATCAATCACTCGATTATGAGACGTAATAATATTGTAATATTAGTTATATAACTACGTCTATTGAAAGATAAGATTATTAATTTAGATTAAAGGGGTTTGTCTTAAGATAGACTTATTATCTCTATTTTATTCTTTTAGTTCTTTGTTATGATGTTTTAAAATCTTTAGATAAAAAAGATACCGTGATAACTTATCATTTCTTTGTAGATCTCAAAACATATAAAATGTAATTTTAAAATTCAATGTTATAAGTAAAACCAGTACCGAATATTTTTTATTCCAACACAGATCCATTTAATACTGACACTTGAATTCAAACCCAATATTATGAATATTTAACGCTCTGTCTGATACAAAATTGATAACACAACCACATCAGTAGATTGTTTCCGAGCTAAACGCCGACCTACGTCTATCAGAGAGGATAGTTCATAAAAGATGTAGGGAAACTCCGCATATAGAGCCAGTTAGATGGGAAAATAATATTTTGTATTATATATTAGATATTAGAGATGACTATTAAATGGTATTTGATAAACATACTGAGTTCATGTGTCATTCCATACTAATATTATAAATGCGAAAGTATGTCTGTCTGTCTGTCTGTCTGTTACCTCTTCGCGTTTAGGCCACTGAACAGATTTATATGAAATTTGGTACACCTGAGCCCCGGGAAAGGGCATAGGGTAGTTTTTATCCCAGAAAACATCCTTTAACGGGGGTAGAAGTTTGAATGGGAAATCAATAACTGCTGCACCGATTAATTGAAATTTGGTATGAAGTTACTTTGATAAGGTAAGAATAAGGGTGTATCTTTTGCTGAACAATGGTTCATGTGTACAGAAAAATGTCTGCTAAAATTCGGTATGTTAATAAAAATGTTACTACAATTTGTTGTTTAAATTTTTTCTACCCATAACTGTTTTGTAGTCAGTATATCGGTAATTGATTCTGGACAAATTTTCGAGTTAAACGGTAATCTTGATATTGACCTAAATTACGTAAAAAGATTCCATTACTGAGATAAATACATGTCAAGTTAATATGTAGCGTGAAAAACGCTGCTCCCCAGTAGTAGTGCCAATTTAAAGCACCAATCCAACTTGATATCTAGTGCTAAAATTTAATTCGATGATTAATCAAATTAAACTAGACTGACTTTGTTTTCACAAAAGTTAGACTAAAAATTTTGTTATAACTACTATCCTGATGGCATACATATTATAATCAGCTACAAAATAAAAATGAAACAATTTTTAGTCGGAACGAAATGATGATAGATCGATGATAGATGATGATATCGAGCTTAACCGCTGAAATATACATTGCACAACAAATAATTACTCTCGCAAGTGACGGATTAATTTTAAGGTAATGAATAAGTTGTTTGTGGTTTTAAATACTAAGGGTATTCTTTATTCTAATTGTAGACTTGTAGGTCACAGCGTGTTACTAAATTAGATTCTTAGTGCTAATGTAACATCATCATGATGATGACCTTGATCACGTGATGATATAGGAGTCAAACGAGCAAATGACATAATTGCTTAGCCACTCCTATTCGTGGGGGGATTTCAGTAACATTATTCACTTAGTAGAAGGTAGCGAAAGAATTGCTTAAATTTTATAGGCCCATTCAGCTCCTGCCGGCCGCTGACACCAGGGACGGACCTTACAACGATTTCCTGTTAGGTCGTGGTAGTACTCCGGTCGATCCGGCCTATTTATGCAGGAGCATGGCTCGCCCCCCTTTGCCCCCTTAACCATAAATAAAAGCGTAGAAGCTTCATAAATATTGTATAAAATAAAACTAGGCTGCGAAATTATACTTTAATTGCGGCATTATTTCGCAAATTATGTTAGCAAATTCCTCGTAGCCGTAGCTATAATTAAATTTAATTTCGCAAAAATAAATGACCACAATCATCTGCAGGGTTTTTAATAATCCCAAATGATACTAAGATCATCATCATAAATATTTACGGTCTAAAACTGCTACTAATGTCAGGTTTATGTCGTTTTAGCTGTAAATAAGATAAGCCTACTACTTATAAAGTAAATCTCACAGTTTGCACTTTGACATGTTTTGCTGTACAAAATATACAAGATATATATAATAATTCATGCAAGTACAATACTACTTCTCTCTCTAGTTTAATAATCTATCCGTCTTTCTAAAAGGTTTCAGT